TCCTTTCCTTTTTGATGTAGGGGAGACCCGGGAGGTATGGGCCGGTTTTGTGAAAAGGCAATTTTCTTCCAGTGGGCAGTGGCTAGACTCGGTTTTTCACTCTGTGTACGTGAAATTGCCTTTCGCCTGCAACGTGTGCCTGATATTAAGCATCTGGGATCAACTATTTTGTCTCGAGATAACTTTCAATAAATCATGTGCTTTTTCGGTCCATCAAAATGCACCGGGAGGTATGGGCCATGGCCTGGGAGGTATGGGCCGGTGCCATGTTTCCTATTATTTTCTCGACAATGAGAATAATACTCGTAGCTGGTATTTCCCTCGATCTCTCTTAGAGCCCAGGAACCGCATAAGCGTCCAACAGCTTGCTTCATGGAGGTCACTTGGGCCCATATGCATTTTGGTAAACTCAATCAGCCACCATGAAATAAGATGAATAATATTTCTCTGTTCGAATGAAATTTGAAGTTAAATTCTCGACCTTGCGCGACAAAAATAAAACTTATTGACGGGGACATTTAATGAAAGCATCTTTTTATTTATTTAGGATCACCGGGGGTGGGTGGCCCAAACCTCCCGGTTAGAACGCCATAATGTGCGTAGCATCTCAGCTCATAATCTTGCAAGAAAGCTTCATATTGTCTATCCAGTCTTAATTTGCATACTTTAAACTTTATGTTAGCGATGGTCTGACATCATAAAACGAGCCTGGTTCAAATTGATCACGAATTTTCTGTATGTACCGTATTTTACTCGAAGAGGGCAAAAACGCTTTATCGCCGCTCATTGCCATAGAAGACTGAGGAAGGTTTTGAAAATCACGTGGGATGTAATCACTGAATGGCTGCTACCAGTTAACACCGTCAAATGTGTAAAAATGCGCAACACTTCTTCAAAACTGCGATGGCCCATACCTCCAGGGGGCCCATACCTCCCGGGTCTCCCCTACTCGTAACGCACCGCGTCCAGCGTACTATGGGAAGTGAGAACATTGCCCACCATAGCGGAACCTCTGCTGGGTGCACACCGTCCGTCCAGGGCCCCAGAGGCGTCCCCGGCGGTCACTCTGGCCGACACCGCCGCCGTGACCGATTGCGTGATGACGCCATCCGGTGACCGATGACGCCTCCGTGCTGACGTCACGGCCGCCGGTGACGGATGCCGCCCTCCGCTGCCGCCAGTGTCCCGACGTGTCGCTGCCGCTGCACCCGCGGCATGTGTCCGTCCAGTGCCCTGCTGCGCCGGCCAGGGAGGGCTCACCGGACAGGGCCCTGTCCGGTGAGGTCGGGACCCCTGCAGGGGTCGGGACACCTCACCAGCTACATATATACCGGGCGGTCACTGACTGAGCTCGGCCAGCGCTGGCTCATCCAGCCGACATCAGATATTCATTGGACGGGGAGGCTGGGAAGGTCGCGCTCAACAGCTGCTCATAGTTACCAGTTATGAGAGATTGAGCGGTGCCTGAATCCTTTATTACGAATTCCATTTGCCATTTGTTTTCATAGCTTCCAAATCAATAACATTGCAGCCATTTGATGGCGAAAGTTCTCCAGAACATGGCATAAACTGTATACCATGACCAGTGATCAGCTGTACGGCCTCCAAATAACTGTCTCTAAGCGTCCAACTGTGTGGGCCCAGACGGTCCGATGTTTCTCGGAGCCAACTTTGCTGGTCCAGACAGTTTCTATATCTTGCAGTAGCCGGCTTAGCAGACCCCGAAAACTCTGCCTACCTTTTCCAGGTCTGAGTTCCCAGACAGGCCGTCGGGCTCTCCCAATGTCTATCTCAGTTCAGACCCTCGGGCATTTCCCCTCTACCGAAGAGCAGCTAGGGTCTGTCGCGACGGACGACGCACTTTCACCGCCAGGTTAGCCCACCCTGTCGTCACCCATGGTCAGTGGTCACCGCCGATCCGTCGGGTCCGGTCGGTCCCTGATGACCATTGGTCGGTGGTCACCTGTCACCGCCGACCCGCAGAGTCCGGTCGGTCAGCCATGGTCACAGCAGAGTCCGGTCGGTCAGCCATCATGTTCCCAGCCTATAGTCCGGTCGGCAGGTGTGATCAGAAGCAGTCCACTCAGCCCACCCGGTCTTTGCCTGCCTATTGAGTATTGGTGGCACAATACCCGCGGAGCCCTGTCGGTCAGCTATGCTTACAGCAGAGTCCGCTCCGGTCGGCAGATGGTGGTCATAGGCAGCACAGCCGCTGATCGGCGAGTTGCTTGTGTAATTGGACACGCCGCGCTGAACTGCACCGAGCCGCCCCAGTCAATGAGCCAGTCAGCCCAGAGAAACAAGCCGGCCAGACAAACAGGAAACGGTGCAGACGAGACAGGGACAGCGCGTATTGACAGTGGAGATGGGACAGTTGCGGGTTATGGGCCACGGAGGGACTGAGGGCTGTCCAATCCGCGGAGACGGGCGTATAGCGGGTCTGAAGCGAGAGCTGTCAACGATCCACTCATAACACGAGCACAGCTCCAGGTAAAGGGACTGATGTGCTGTCAAGAAAGACGGAGGACGAAGGTTGATGGCCTCAAAGATAATAGACACAGAGCGGAACCAGGGCGTGATGTGTCACCCACGAGTAGAGCGGGGTGCTAAAGCTCAGAGGAGGCGGTACAGGGACAGCGCGCTGGTAGGACAGTGGGACCAGTCACAGAATCAACAAACAGTGAGTATAACTGATGTGACAGAGCGCCGAACCAGCCACCTCCCTCCGCCTGCCGGACGGCGGCTCGGACATATGTCAGAGTAAGATACGAGACACACTCTGACACACAAATAACCACGAGGCGGCGTCAGTTCCCCAGCCGCCGCTATATCTCTCCTTCCAGCCGGTTCTGTTGCTGTGCCTTCGACATGACTGCAGATGCGGGCTGTGCTGTGCCGACAGACTGAATGGCTGCGGAGCGCAGATTGTGCCGAGATACTGGCCCAGCACTCAGCAGTGAGCAGACTGCCGCTGACTCAGTGCATATTGATGACGTCATTATGACGTCCGCCGATGATGCAGTGTAAGGCTTATCTGGTGCCTGATACAGTAGCTCCATGCTCAGAAAGCACTGGGTTGTTTTTACCGGCTACCCACGCACTGACGCCTCTCAGGCTAACCTTTCCCACGAGTTCTCATACAGAGCCGCCGTATACAGCAAAAACACGTATAACCCAAGCCTCTGGGGGCGTTATCGCACGACCTGCGCCCGAGCCACCATGGAACGCCCTCATTGGGCCACTGAACGTATTCATTAGCGCCATTAATGTCTCCGGCGGAGCGCCAATTTCCTGGCACCGGTGCCAGACGGAGGCGGCGGGAAAGGAGAGAGCATATGGTGCCAGTTACAGCAGCTCGGGTCAGAGCGCGGGGGGGGGGGGGCGAAAGGCCGGCGATGGGTCGGAAGTCGGCAGATGATGCCATGTCGGACAAGGAAGCGCACAGATAGCTTGAAAAGGTTATAAATGACGTCGATTTTGCAATGGAAATCTAGCGCCACGCCTTGTCATGATAAATGAGCTAGCGTCTCGAGGAGAGCAAGCAAAAATAAATGAGTCGAGGAAAAGCGCATGGCAAGTCCCGACTAGATAGTAATTGAACAATTTTCCTGTCATGCACGTACAGCGAAAGCGCTGATTTTTCTCGCTTGGACGAGGAGACTGAGGAAAACGCCCACATAGCATGACTTTCGCGGTTCATTTAACACTAGAACCATTCTCAGCCGAGCGGCTGGGCAATCACTTCATTAAACACCGCCATCGGTGATATTACGGCTCAGTGCAGCAGAAATGGTGCAGTCCGAGCCGGTCCAGCCACCGGTAGCCGCCGCGGCTCGCACCACGGGCCCCGTGTCCAGCAGACTCCCCGCCGCGGCTCGCACCAGCCCCGGCCAGGAGACTCTCCGCCGCGGCTCGCACCAGTGCAGCCCAGCAGACTCCCCGCCGCGGCTCGCACCAGCCCCGCTCAGGAGACTCTCCGGCGACCGGAGCGGACATTGAAGGCATTCCGGCCGCGCCGAGAGCAGCCATCTCGGCCGACGACCGACCAGACGACGTCCATGGACGTGAGCGTATTGAGCGGTTCGAGCTTCAGAGGCGGGCCCGGAATAGTCGGTCGCGGCCCGCAGCGTCCGCCTGGGCAAACACGCCAGCGCTGGAGTGCAGGTCTCTGCCGCTCTGTTCAACAGAGTCTGGCAGAGAGTTTCTCAGAGGGACTGGAGTCTAATGGAAGCCATTCAGAGGCGGTCGGGCCGGACGGCACACAAGACCCGAGCTCCGCCGCCGTCAGCACTGTGCCACTGAAAACCCCAGCTCGTTAGCGGGCCCCCGTGTTTAAACTCGGTTCAGAGCGGTGCCAGCTGTGTCCCAAACTTCGACCGTCGGCGGCGGCCAGAGCAGACGTCCGCACACCGCCTGTTGAGACAATACACACATCGCTGCCAAGCTGCACTGGCAGCGTGCACCAGGACACAATGCTGACCGCTGACAGCCGTCGCTGGCAGGGTGATGACAAAGCATACGACCTGGGCTGTCGCACGGCTCCGTCAGCACCGCCCTCGTCTGTCAGGGCCGCGTCTGTCACAGCGGCTCCTCATCAGGCGCGTCACGTCACTCCACTGAGATCCGGCGGGGCGTGCCCGAGGGAGGATTGAACTCATCGTCACACGCTGCTCATTTTGATATGTGCGGCGTGCATATCTGCAAAGCTTGTGGTATGAAGTTGCCTGCAATCTCTAAACATAACTTGGAAAATATCAACTGCTTGCAACATTAGTCTGTAAACAAGCCGTGTTCGTTTAGCTTTAAAGAAGCGACAAATATGTGCAGGCTGAAATTTCATCAAAGCAGGAAAACATCTCAGCCCCGCAGCATACAAGATACAAAACGGAGCACATTAGCGATCGCTTTCATCCTAAGCCGCAGCGCTCAGTTCCGAGGACTGTTGACAGCTCTGGGCGGCTCGGAGCCGTTATGCGTGGCTGCGGCCAGCGGGTACTTACCACTCGAGATGACGGCGGCAAAGGAAGATCACAGACCGAGCCGGAGACGCGCCAGCGGCATCATCGGTCAGACCTGGCGGAGAGGAGCGGGCTCTCAGCGCATGGTAGTTGCAACAGTGGCAGGACGGCGACGATCAAACAACTAGTTACATGGTTAAAGGCCTAGCTGAGCGGCAAAAGATGTGATGGTTAAATTAAGATGTCAGTCACTATAAAATTATGTGCACACTGCGTCCGATCGAACTATATTTAACTAAAAAAGGCAGCAAATTATTTTCCACCTGGAAAACTCAAACCGCACACGAGTAACGGATTAACAACACGGAATAGTTGAATGACAGACAACAAGTATCTGCACTTCGTAGAGCATTTACTGAACTAACACGGCATCCAAAACTCACAGCAAGGCAAACAAACAAAACGAGAAGTGAACAAGACACCTCGAAAACACTTTTATCGAGCCGATGCCATGGACGGGCCCCCGTGCCCCCTGAAATGGGGAGATAACGAGAGACACAACAAAGTCAGAGCCAAGACAACACAACGGGGAGAGACTCGGACCGAAATAGGCACCTGGATATTTGTACTGACGCGGGCAGCAGCCGGAGACCGCTGTGTGGCTGTTTGATCAGCCCCAGCCGGAGACTGGCTGTCTCTCTGTCTGTCGGGTGGTATTCAGCCGGTTAGAGACAGGCTGAGACAGCCTAGAACAGCCGGAGAGCGGTAGGGCGGTAGAGGAGGAGGGTCTGAGGAGGGCGCTAGAACAGCGGCTGAGGACAGCGGTAGAACAGCGGCTGCAAGGAGAGCGGTAGAACAGCGGCTGAGACAGCCCAGAACAGCCGGAGAGCAATAGAACAGCGGTTGAGGACAGCGGTAGAACAGCGGCTGAGGACAGCGGTAGAACAGCGGCTGCAAGGAGAGCGGTAGAACAGCGGCTGAGACAGCCCAGAACAGCCGGAGAGCAATAGAACAGCGGTTGAGGACAGCGGTAGAACAGCGGCTGGGGAGAGCGGTAGAACAGCGGCTGCAAGGAGAGCGGGTCGGGAATGCATGAGGAGACAGCTGACCACTGTTCACTGAGCAGTCATCTGGCTGCCGCCTCAGCCCGCACAATCGAAGCGAAATTGACCCTCTGGTAAACGAGAAAAGTGAGAGCCGATCAGCGTGGCTGGTCACTCTACAATTACAGGGTGTCTCAAAAGTTCGTTCACAGGTACCAGCCATGCTTTTTTGTCAATAATTCTGAATCAACAAGAAATTAACAGTCGAAATTTTGCATGGGCATTGGTGACAACCTTCCTCAAGCAGTCTCATTGTTTTCAAGTGCATTCGACCCTTCAGGAGCTCACAAAAAGGGCCATGGGTCAGGCACCCTCTGACCATGGGTCAGGCACGAAAATGTAGGTTGCAAAGTCGGGTATGTCGTGAAACTCTCTGTTTCAGGAGTAATGGGAATGGTTAAGTCGGAAATGACACATGGCTAAGTGTCGGCGAGGATGAGTGCAACATGATGATCATCTCATAAAAACGGTGGCTAAAATTTTTGAAGGACGAAACCATGCGAGACTAACGGCGTTTTGAACGACCCTCGCACGACAGCAGACTCGTGTTCCGGAAAGCAGCTGAAAATGCGGTCATAACTATTGAAAACTGGCAAGAAGGTCACAGACAGAGGTTACCCATTTTCAAAAAGTGCAGGTCATCGTAAAATAAAGACAAATCATAATTTAAAATTGTTTATAACATCTATAACGCTAATTTTTGGGGACAATAACACAAAAATCGTCAATGCCAAGGACACCTGACCCTCCAAAAGTGTCAGTTATTGTAAAATTTTGTCTAACGAAGTTTCAAGAGGCAGATCTGCAGCGAATAATTTTCTTTTAACCACAAAATCCCGATAAAACCACACGATGGACAGGTTTGGGCCGTTTACAAAGCAGAACATCTCCCGAGGAAAACACTCCGCAACCGAGCGAAGGTCTTGGCATGGGGAATGACGAGCGCTTGGAATTTGCAAAATTTGCACAATGTGTCTGAGAAACAGACGTCCGACACATTCTGCTACCATATGATGCGAAAAATTTACTCCTGGTACTTCCCGTTTGTTCAGGACTGGGGTCGTTTTGAAAAGGAAAATGGCGCTTGGAATGTCGGCGCCAGTCATTCATGAAGGAGTTAGCGCCAGAGAATGCCTACAAAATACTCAAGAATGGTGTCGATGCAAGCTGTCGGCTTTCAGGGAAAATCAGATGTTGCCGGGGAGCTAGTCAAAACTAAATCCGACGCAGAAACTGCAGGGGATTCCCCTGCAAGAGCTTGAAAGCTGGTAACCTTTTATCAGCCTCCGGCAGCTGACGGAGCAACAAAAATCGGTATGGGCAAATATTTTTGGAGATACAGCAAAGGGGTTGGTTTCCAACCTTCTTAATCAGTTGTCAAAGCATGCATATTTGTCTAGTGTACACACAGACACCAAAACCTTATACTTTTGGCCGGTTCTTATATGCTTTATTGGCATGGGAAATGTGTGAACGAACTTTTGAGACACCCTGTATAGGTGACGAGCCAGAAAAGCAGCTGAATGGAGGGAACTCTAGTGCAAAACAGATTCAGTCTAAGCAAACCGAAAATGCTGCGGAAATCCCTTCCCGGATATATTATGCCTCTCGCAAACGCATCTGATTTTTGCCTGAACTAACTGATTTAGAGAATTCTTCGTCGCAAAGCATCACCTTTCCAAAACTTGCGAAGCAATATGAAAAATGTAAAAAATGTAAAATGCACATAACCGTCTCCGTTACAGAACACCAACTACATAGATCCTAGGATTTTGTCCATATTGAACGATAGGCGTTATCACAAGTGTATTCGCGGCCATTGGGGCGACGTAAGAAAAGAAGAAAACAACTGGCCCCAAGGACTTTAAATTATCAGTTAGCATGCACCTTTTCCTTGATATGTAGAGAATTTACCATTAATTGTTAGAGAAAATTGCATTTAAAATCTTCCATTTATGTTTTTTCATCGTTTGCACAGTATGCTCTTTTACTAAGCTAGAAACATAAATTAGAAATAGTTCCCGCATCATCAAGAACAATAGGGAAGGCTTGAAGTGAATACAATAATCTAAACGGTTTTGTAATCCATTAAAGACACTTCTAAAATTGCCTGTAGAAATATTAAAGGCAAAAGTTCAACTTTTTCACAAGACGGATGGCTATAAACCTATTGAACGTGTGACAACTCAGCCGGTATTTCGTCGCCTACAGCCCAGCTTTCCCTAGTGACCGATAGAGGCGCTGCTATCGATGTCCGCCCGTGCCGCCTAACGAACGACCTTTACACCTGATCCCCGTGTCGTACCCCTGTCTCGGGTATGTGCCGCTCGGCCCGGCCGCCGGAATCCGGTCGGAGTCGCGTGGAGCGCGGACCGGACGCCGGAAGCGTCAGGTCGTGCCAAGACGACCGCCGCCGCCGGCACTGCCCGTCACGCCAATTGGCCGGAAGGACCGGGACCGAGGCCAATTAGGGCGAGTTGGAGAGCGTCCGCTGTCACCTGTCCACCGGACCACTGGACCAGAGTGACGGGTCAGCAGACCGCAGACCAGAAGACCGTGAGCGGACCGTAAAACCGCGGACCAGAAGAGCGTGAGCGGACCATTAGGCCTGCGAGCGAGCCCTGCGGGTCGGAGGACCGGACGAACCACACACTCAGAAAACACTTTGAGAACATTTTTGAATAAGGGCTCATATGAGTGCCAAAACAGGGCTCAAATCTGTATGATTTTAAAATCGGGATCAGTTAGGCGCCCTTTTCGGGCTCAAAGTACATTAGCCCCGAAAGCGGCATCAGTTCGTCTTCCTTTTCGGGCTCAATTCGAGCTGCGTTTTAGGGCTCCATACGACATTCCGCCATTCCGTCTTTTGCTGTTTTCAGTGCCATGTGTTGGTGTACCTACCGCCGTGATTTCAAAATGAATGGTAAGTTATTAGTTATCAGTTATCGCTATCTTTTAGAAAAAATCAAGATGTTGATGCTCATGCCATTTTAATCCCTTATCAATTAAAATTGTGGTGGCATTTGTTCAGAAAAGGTCTGATCTACAATTGTGGCGCCGTTGATACGAATACGCACGGGTTTGATTATTCGTTTTTCTTGTATTTGCGCCACATGAAAGCATCATATCTGGATTCAGGATGTCAAATAGTGTAAGAATGTGCAAAATTTTTGTCTGGTTCTTCGTGATGATGTGATTGAAGCAATACTTTCAAGGGTAGGTAAGGATTTTGTTACTTGTTCGTAATGGTTATCTTGATGCTCAACTAAAATTAATCCTAACCTTGCCTACTAACCTATTAAGTTAAACTTAGTACCAATACCTACCAACCTACAACCTATTTGGATCTTTCACATACTTATAACATGCTGCTGCTTCTGCTAACATGCTGCGGAATGCTGGTTGACATGATGGAATGCTGGTATGACAGTGTTCCATGTTTCAGAATTTTAGGTGAATAACCACACATGATGGGGAAAATATTTTCATCCTAAAAATATGACAAGTGGCTTTATTTAATCTTTGCTAAAAAAAATATGTCAAAAGTTTGATTCAACAGCCAGCTGCCAGGTTACGCATGACTTGACAGTTGATGCATCTACTCTACATCATTTCATTTCAGATCCTTTGAAGGTTCTGACAAAATCTGAGGTAAAAAATGGCATTATGCAGTTTTGCGGAAAGACTAAATCTATCTCATTTTGTCTTCATATTTTTTTTTATTGGGACACCCAATTGAAATCCAATTTTAGAACACTGTGACACCATGCCTGTGTGCCAAGTAAGAGGAAGGGTCTACAAGTATACATCAAGATAACCAATTATGGACAAGTTGAGACTTGAGTCATGAGCTCTTATTTGTGGTTACAATACCTTCAACTGCATGATTTTGCACAACTTCCATACAGGCATCCAGACTGGAAAAGGTTCAAGTCCATACTTATTCTGGTGCTTGAATATGGCAGTTCAAAGATGGAAGGCATATGATGCTACAAAATGAAAAAAGTAATTC